AAAGTATGATTCTGAAGGGGAATTCAATATATCAAATGGAAAAAAACAATACTTACGTGCAAAGTTCCATTTTTCTGGAAAAAAGCCATATTTTCTTCACCCACTAATCAACTGGTGGGGGCAGCAACAAATCGGGCATACCAGCTACTGTCGCAATCATCCTTAGGGCTGACAAAAACCCTTTTAATCCTAGCCACAAGAGAAAAGACACCTTTACGAAATAGATTGGGGGAGTAAAGATGAAGTAAATGACGGAAGGTAAAAGGAGAGGAAACCAAATTCGACAAATAGCGAAGGCATGCCACTGCCCTCCACACAATGGGACTGATTTGGCCAAGGAAAACATTAAAATAACGGCAGAACTCAATGATCACTGGGTCAATGGGAGGTTTAAACCCTAAAGTGAAAGGGTAAGTGTAAAAGAAAGAGATGCAAGCATGGTAAGAAGTGATTCTTTGGCTGGCACCAAGAAATAAAACTGGGAATTCTGGTTTCCAAGACATTCATGTCGAACTAAAGAGAGAAGACCAGGAATGATCGAGCTTGGGTAGTGTTCAGTAGGGTTAAGGAAAGATATAGAAGAAACTTGATTTTTCATGACTTCACGATCTGATACACAGGAAAACTCTTGAGGAACAATCTCAGAAACTGTAGGCTCACGCATGGGTTCATTCTGATCCCTACCCCTAGAAGAAGATCTAGGGGTTAAAGGGGCTCTAGGTCTAGAAGAAGATGGTTTGACAGAACTACTCTGGGAAGTAGAACTACGAGTAGATAACGAACCAAGACTACAGAGTCTGCGACCCCTCCTACTTCTAGTAGAGGTGGTAGAAGGAGCAAGTTCATCAACGATCACGACTTTGCGAGGGTCAGGTGATGAAGAAGACATGTTTAATGAATAAAATACAAAGGAAAAGTAGAAGAATACGAAGGAAGGTTAAGGAGATGAATATAGAAAAGAAGGAAAATGCTTTCAAAAAATCAAGAGTATTTATAAAGAGAGGCAACCATCATTGAGGTTGATCATTATGAAGCGTCATAATAGAACCGTCACTTCTTGACTGATACAGCCGCAGAAAAACCCTAAAAAGGCACTGATAAACTGCAGAACCAATCAAGTGAAGCCACGTGGCATGTGCATTAAATGGATGTGACATACGTCGCATTGATTCTGAAAAGGGCATAATGATACTCGAGAAACGACGACAAAGAATTCCCGCAATAAATACTTACCACTTCCCGGATATTCAGTTAAGAATATTCAGAAAGTGAGGGGACTATCTGTATTAGTGGAAAAAAAAGGTATGACACATGGACTATTATCAAGGTGACAAGGCATGATACGTGGACCATCAATATAGCGACAAGTGGCGTTCTTAATTAGACAAGTTAAAGAATACAGAAAAGGCACGGGAGGAACACCCTCAGGGTTACATTGAGAAAAGAACCGGACCTGACAGCTGTTAAAGGAGAAACATGAACGGAATGAATATAGGTCGTTAAGAAGGGAAGATGAACGAACCAGTCATAAAAAAGGAAGGAAAATCAATACGGTTATAGGAAATCTTTAGTTATAAACACTTTCGTTACAAATGTATATAGTAACGGGTAATCAAGGCAATTACTGCTATTAGTGAACCCGAATTAAGTACGGAAACCATTATAATTGTATGCTCCTATATAAGGAGTGAAACCTCATTTGTAATATCATCAAATAATCATTGAAATTTATGCAATCATTCTTTACTTTATTTTCAAGGTACTAAACTGTAATTTTGGGAGTGATTATCAATCTGTTTCATATTTACTTTGTCAATTATCTTCATTCCTTAGTTTTTTAATCTAATTATTGGGAAGAGAAATAAATCTTGGTTATCAGTAGCCCGAGTTTTTCTAGATATTGACTTTGACCGAGAAATCTATTTTTGGTTTAAACATATGCACTTTTGGATTCAACCAAAATATGCTTTGTATTTAGGGTGTCCACTATTAATATATCACTACTTTCTAAAAACATATGCATCTATACAAGGAGTTTTTGCTGAACTTTACGGGTGCCGCTAACCCCTCTTGGTATAGCATTGGTCCGCCTCTTCCGTATCAAGAAAGTAGTAAATAATGTACGCTCTAGTCCGACTGTTTTTAGCTATTTTTGTCATTATTTTGTTTCATTTTCTGGGATGTGTTGCAACGAAATAGACAATAGTATTGTTGAATGGTGAGATAAGATTTTCGGTGGATGACAATGAGAATGACGCTGAATTTGAACTACCAAAATGGTGGTTGGCTGAAGCATATCACTTTAGATAGGGGATATAGATGAGCAATATAATGAGAGTTAGGAGAAGACTGCACGTTCATATTTCTTATGTTAGTTAGTACTTACTATTTGTTGTGACATTTATTTAACCTAAATAATTTGATTCAATATGTTCGGACCAAACACATCGAAATCACAATATTCAACTTGCTCATTGTTTACCCGAAAAATCGGATAGAGGTGAATTTGTAAGTAGTTCTAAGGATATGTGGTACGACTTGACATAAATGGTATAGAGAAATAGGAATACGTATATTCTTGACTATAAGAACGAAGGATAAAACAATGAGAAAAAGGAATGAATGGACTAGATAAGATAAAATAAAATGAGCCCAAGGAGTTCATATTTCAATATGAGAAGTAGTCTTTTTCTTACAATGTGTGTATCCCCATATGTTTACAACAATCATCCTCTTTATAGTAGAGAGATTCTACTTTGAATACAATAAAAAATACATAGTGGGGAACCCATGATGAATTAGCTTTTTCCTAAATCCCGCCAGGATTCTCTCCCCTAGTGCGGTTGCGACGACTCTTATCTGTGAGCTGGATACTGACTCGAGCTCGGTATTGGCTCAAGCCCCTGGCCTTGACTGCTCGATTCTGACTCGGAGTCTAGATATTCGGGGTTGGTGTTGGTCGGTCTATGTATCTTTGACAATTTCACTTTGCCTCGTAGTTTGATTTGGATATGAGCTCGATAATGATACCGAGCTTATCATTGATCGATCGTAGCGCTCGAAGCTTGACGTACTTACTTCGGACCTCGACCTCACATTACACAGATACCCTTTGACCGAAGTATTATCATCTCGACCAATCTGTATGATGGACTAATCGGTTTTGACCGTATACAGATAGTCCATTCGTTTCTCGGGAAGGATGTAACGGGAAACGATATGATTTTCCAATGGTACGATTACATATATACTGACGTTTGCATTGAGTTCGATCGTGACGTACGTGATAGCTGTCCCATCGGTTCCATTTACCGAGGCATTTAATGTGTGTCAGACGATGGTCGGCCATTACCGATATTGAACCGCCACCACTTAGCCTATAAATATCCCTTCTTTCTACCATTAATCACTTTTGCATCCACTGATCTCAAAATTTTCTAAGCATTTTCCCATATCTTCTAAATTCGTTTGAGTGTGAAATTTTCCTTATGTGTTTTTCACTACAAGAATCTTTCTTTGAAACACCATATCTTCTTTATTTTCTTCTAAATTCAAAGAAAATGGTGAAACCATAAAAAATCGTTCCTCAAAAAGAAGAGGCCTCTTCTTTACAGCCCGCCGCCAATAAAATGCCGGTGGAGCCATGGCCAGAGGAGTGTGTTCCTAGAACATGTCTTCTCACCTCCGATTTCAAGCTCGAAAAAGGCATGTTGGTTCCCGGTCTGTGTGAACCGGTATCGAGATATTTATGTTCGATAAACAAAAAGCAACTTGCACAGTTGAAGACATATTGCAACTGGGACAATAAGGAAGTGGTGATTTCAGCTTCCGACGAAGATATTACCATCCACGTGGAAGGGTTCTTAAGTGTGTATACCTACCCGTTTACGTTAGGACCTTTCGACCCTGTTATCATCGACTTTTGTCGTCAATACCGAATAACTCTAGGCCAAATTCATCCTTCCTTTTGGGGGATCGTTATTCTGATTCGTTTCTTTGTAAACAAGATCGAGGGGATTCCTTTAACCCTCGATCATCTTATTAGATTGTATAGTCCCCGCCTCTTTTGAGGCAGAATAATAAAACTACAATGTCGGGCTACCAAGGTTTTATTCTCGAGCATAGACGAGGACAAAGATCGAGGTTGGATGAGTAGGTTCGTTCGAGTGAAGACTTCAGACCTGATCCCAGCCAAAAAATGTCGTTCCCCGAAGAGTGGAATATGAATCGTGAGTGGAATATGAATCGTGCGTGGAATATGAATCCTTGTTTCTTTTGTGATGCAGCGGTTCCTTGGATGCCCGGTGCCATTCCCGACCTTAAAAGCTGGGTACAAGCTCTAGCTTCGAACTCCATATACGCCGAACATTCATGGAATAATCTGTCAAAGGGCCGATGGGAGGCAAAAAACCATGGTAAGCCTATTTCTTATATCTTTGAGAGTTCGAACGAAATATTTTCCTAATACTCAACCGATTTTCATGTGCGTAGGCCTGGGCAGAGACGCGATTTTGAGGCCCCTGTCCGGTGAAGAAGAGGCCTCAGCCCCGATTTCCAAACTGGCGAAAGAGAATAAGAGAAAAAGGGTATCTACTTCCGAAAATCCAAAATTGAAGGCAAGGTCGACTCATAAATCGAGAAAGAAAACCATCCCTTTGACCTTAGAATCAGTTCAGCGCCTAAGAGATGAAGATAAGGAAGAAGAAGGTGAGGAGTTCGTACTGGTGGCCCGAACGAAGAAAACCACCGATCCTTCGCAGGCAGCTGGATCGATGGTGGTTTATACGGCTCCACCTCGAACTGAGGATATATCGAAGAAAGATATGGGCAGAGTTCCTGAGTCATTGGAGATCGAGGATGTTTCCCATCGAAGCCAACGTATGGGGAATATATCTGAAGGGGCTGTCTCCGAATTTCTTCGAACCGAAGAGAACGCCCCAAATGACTTACTTGGGGAAGTATCAATCGAAGATTCACCCACCTTTCCTGCTTTTTTCTGAATGGGCGATTTGGGAAGTCAAAACTTTAGGGCCCTCGAACTGGACAGGCCTTATGAGGGAGATGATCCTTTTTGTGGTCTATTTACTGGTGTCGAGGATGCTGCTGACAGTAACGATGCATCAGATCTTTTTCATGGAGTGCAGCAGGCTTTAAATCAGGTAAGTCTTAAATTATTCTGTATTATCTCTTATGTCTGTTTTTCTTTTCTCACTTTGTTTCTTCTTCCCTCGTAGGCCGTGGCAGCTCATCGAGAAGCATGTTCTCGATCCCGAGTTGAGTTGCGTCGATACGAGGTCGACCTCCAACGGGTTACGGAGGAGAGGAATGCCCTCAAACTCCTCTTAGGGAAAAAAAGGGAGGAAATCAAGGACCTCTGTGCTAAGTTGATTAAAGCTCACCAAGATCAGACCGATCTGTCCGAGCAGGTAATGATACTATTAAAAACGTATGGGCTCGATACTGGAACGATGGCTAATCTTTTGGTCTCACAGCTGCAGCAGAAGCTTGAGTTGATCGGGAAACTCCGTGAGGAGGTCGATGTGATAAAGGCAGAGTCCTTGAAATGGAAAGGAAATATGGACCGCTTTGCTGCAGAGAAAGAGGCTGCTCGAGCCCAATTGTCATCGACTGAAAGTCAACTTCAAAGCCTGAAGGAGAAAGGCTTGATTCAAGCATGGAAAACGGAGGAGCTTGAGGCTCGGTTGGCCTCTGAACTTGCCAAGGCTGAAAAAACAAAGGCCGATGCAGATGCATTTGTGGCTATTTATCGGGCTGATGCTGAAGCCGCTCAGTCACATGCGAGAGAGGTTTCCGACACCGCTCGAACTCGAGCACATTGGATCTCCGAATTTGCCAAATGCCAATATAGGAGGGAAACCCTCGAGGAGATCCATGCTCGGGGCTTTGATCTTTCTAAAGAGATAACAAAGGCAAGAGAGCTTGAAGCTGGGTCCTTAGCCTCCGATGATGATGGCGATGATGATGATGACGACGACGATGACAATGACCGGAGCAAGAGTGGGTCTCAGAGTGGGGAGGAGCCCGATGGAGAAAAGACTGCTCCTGTAGACAATTAGGTTCTTTTTTGATCTTTTTTGTGTAAGGCCCTGATCAGTCATTTTGTAAATATCATCGTGTATATATAGGTCTTTTCTTTTCCCAGTTTATCTCTATTTTCATTCTTCTGCCTAGTGAAGATTTTGTTTACTTGTGCCTTATGAAAATGTTTATAAGTTTGAGGCTTTAGGAAATTTGGATTGAATTCGGTCTTTGTAGCCTTTATAACTGAGTGAGTAATTGCTTGAACTCGAAGTACGAGTGGTCCTTAGGCTATTATAGTTGAGTGAACGTTTGCTCGAACTTCAAGTAAAGATATCCCGGAGGCTTGATGGTCGAGTGAGTGATTGCTCGAAATCGAAGTAAGATAGCCCGTAGGCTTAATGGTCGAGTGAGTGATTGACTCGAAGTAAGATAGCCCGTAGGCTTAATGGTCGAGTGAGTGATTGACTCGAAGTAAGATAGCCCGTAGGCTTAATGGTCGAGTGATTTCTCGAACTCGAAGTAAGATAGCCCGTAGGCTTGATGGTCGAGTGAGTGATTGCTCGAACTCAAAGTAAGATAGCACGTAGGCTTGATGGTCGAGTGAGTGATTGCTCGAACTCGAAGTAAGATAGCTAGTAGGCTTAATGGTCGAGTGATTGCTCGAACTCGAAGTAAGATAGTCCATAGGCTTGATGGTCGAGTGAGTGATTGCTCGAACTCGATGTATGATAGCCCGTAGGCTTAATGGTCGAGTGAGTGATTGACTCGAAGTAAGATAGCCCGTAGGCTTAATGGTCGAGTGATTGCTCGAACTCGAAGTAAGATAGCCCGTAGGCTTGATGGTCGAGTGAGTGATTGCTCGAACTCAAAGTAAGATAGCACGTAGGCTTGATGGTCGAGTGAGTGATTGCTCGAACTCGAAGTAAGATAGCTAGTAGGCTTAATGGTCGAGTGATTGCTCGAACTCGAAGTAAGATAGTCCATAGGCTTGATGGTCGAGTGAGTGATTGCTCGAACTCGATGTATGATAGCCCGTAGGCTTAATGGTCGAGTGAGTGATTGACTCGAAGTAAGATAGCCCGTAGGCTTAATGGTCGAGTGATTGCTCGAACTCGAAGTAAGATAGCATGTAGGCTTGATGGTCGAGTGAGTGATTGCTCTAACTCAAAGTAAGATAGCCCGTAGGCTTTAACAGTCGAGTGAGTGATTGCTCGAACTCGAAGTAAGATAGCCCGTAGGCTTTAATGGTCGAGTGAGTGATTGCTCAAACTCGAAGTAATATAGCCCGTAGTCTTAATGGTCGAGTGATTGCTCGAACTCGAAGTAAGATAGCCCGTAGGCTTGTTTGAATCATGAATTAGAATGAATTTTTCAAAATACGAGGTATCGGTAAAGAAGAAATTTCTCTTTATAAGTCATTATACATGTGCCCGAACTCGAGCAAAACTATGCGGGCATGGTTCGTTTTGACTATTTGGCCCTTACACTTTTTCCCTATCGAGACCTTGCTTGGCATTAAGTTGATATGAAATAACTATCTTGTACTGAACTTGATTTATTTGATGGTAAAGCCCCCCAGTATTCGAGGTTGATTGTAAATAAGCCTTAGATACTATTGAATTGTCCTCAGGTAGCACATAGTTGTTGCCTCGTTAAAAACCTCACCGGAAAAACCCAGTTAGGAAAAAAGCCGATCTAAGGGAAAAAGAGTGCAATGCGTACTTTAAGACCTGAGGTCTCGATGTCTTTGGTTAAACTCCTGCAATGAATTAGCGTCGAATATGTATATATAGACAAAAGAATGGAGGAAATCATGCCTTAACAATAATATCGTTTGAGAAGTGATATGTTCCAGTTGTTTGATAATGGTTCACCATCCATCGTTCCGAGTTTATGAGACCCCTTTCTGACTATATCGAGGACTTGATAGGGTCCTTCCTAATTCGGGCCGAGCTTCCCTTCATTAGGATCTCGAGTATTGATGGTGACCTTCCTTAGGACTAAGTTCCCAACCCTGAAGTGGCGGAGGTTGGTTCTTCTATTGTAGTACCTTTTGATTCGTTGCTTTTGTGAAGCCATTTGAACAAGTGTCGCTTCTCGTTTTTCATCAAATAATTCGAGGCTAGTATTAATTGCCTCATGGTTTGATTCCACCGATGCATGTCGAAACCTTGCGCTGGGTTCTCCGACTTCGACTGGAATTAAGGTTTCGGAACTATACACTAAGAAAAACGGAGTCGCTCCTGTACTGGACTTCGATGTCGTTCGATATGCCCAGAGGACTTCGGCCAGAATTTCTCTCCATTTCCCTTTGGCTTCGTTTAACTTTTTTTTCAGGTTTTGGATGATAGTCTTGTTCGTTGATTCGGCTTGTCTATTCCCACTGGGGTGATACAGTGTCGATAATATCCTTTTTATTTTATGGTCTTCAAGAAATTTTGTTACTTTACTGCCGATAAATTGCTTACCATTGTCGCATGCTATTTCTGCGGGTATCCTAAATCGACACACGATGTGATTCCAGATGAAATCTATAACCTCTTTTTCTCTTATTTTCTCGAACACATGTGCTTCAACCCATTTAGAGAAATAGTCAGTCATAAATAAAATGAACTTAGCTTTACCTGGGGCCGATGGTAGAGGGACGACAATATCCATCCCCTATTTCATGAATGGCCATGGGGATATAACTGAATGAAGTTGTTCCCCGAGTTGATGGATCATCCGTGCAAACCTTTTACATTTATCACATCTTCGAACAAACTCCTTAGTGTCCTTTTCCATGCTATCCCGGTAATATTCTGCTCTGATGATTTTGTGAATCAGTGGTTCGGCGCCGGAGTGGTTCCCACAAGCGCCTTCACGAACCTCTCGTAAAACATAATCGGTGTCTCCTGATCCCAAGCACACTGCCAATGGTCCATGGAACGTCCTTCTGTACAATGTTCCATCTTCAACCAACGTGAATCAAGCAACTTTGATTCGTAGGGCCCTTGATTCTTTAGGGTTCGATGTGAGTTTTCCGTTTCCCAAATATTCAATATACTTATTTCTCCAATCCCAGGTTAAGCTTGTGAAATTTATCTCGGCATGCCCCTCCTTGATTACGAACCCCGATAGTTGAACGACAGTCCCCGAGTCGATCTCATCCTCCTCGACCGATGACCCCAAATTTGCGAGTGCATCGGCCTCACTGTTTTGTTCTCGAGGTACATGTTGTAAAGTCCATTCCTTAAAACGATGCAAAGTTACATGTAATTTGTCCAAATACCTTTGCATTCTATCTTCTCGAACTTCGAAGGTTTTGTTTACTTGGTTCACTACCAGTAAAGAGTCACATTTGGCTTCGATGACTTCTGCTCCTAGGCTTTTGGCTAGCTTGAGACCTGCAATCATGGCTTGGTACTCGGCCTCATTGTTAGTTAACTTAGAAGTTTTGATAGATTGCCTAATAATGCCACTCGTGGGGGGTTTCAACACGATGCCAAGCCTGACCCCTTCACATTCGATGCACCATCTGTGAACAGGGTCCAAACCCCCGATGATGTACCTAATTTCAAAAAAAGTTCTTTCTCAACTTCGGGTACGAGGGTTGGCGTAAAATCGGCCATGAAGTCCGCTAAAATTTGAGACTTGATGGCCGTACGGGGTTGATATTCAATATCGTACCCGCCGAGTTCGACGGCCCATTTGGCCAATCGGCCCGATAGTTCGGGCTTGTGTAAAATATTGCGAAGTGGGTAAGTTGTCAAAACGCATATTGGGTGACATTGAAAGTATGGTCTTAATTTCCTAGAAGCGCTTATTAGTGCAAGTGCCAATTTCTCTAAGTGTGAATATCTAGTCTCCGCTACTCCTAAGGTCCGACTTACATAATAAACAGGAAACTATGTACCTTGCTCTTCTCAAACTAGGACACCACTTACCGCGATTTTCGATACGGCCAAGTATAAGTAAAGTTTTTCATATGTCTTTGGAGTGTAAAGCAGTGGTGGGCTCGACAGGTATCGTTTCAATTGTTCTAATACTTGTTGGCATTCCGTGGTCCAGGCGAAATCGTTCTTCTTTTTGAGTAGAGAGAAGAATCTGTGGCTTCGATCCGACGACCTCGAAATGAATCGGCCTAAGGCAGTTATCCGTCTGGTTGGCCTCTGCACTACTTTTACACTATCCACGATGGTGATGTCTTTGATGGCCTTGATTTTATCGGGGTTGATTTTGATTCCCTGATTTGATATCATGAAGCCAAGGAATTTGCCCGAACCAACCCCGAAAACACATTTCTCGGGGTTGAGCTTCATGTTGTATTTCCTTACAATCTCGAACGTCTCCTGCAAATGAGTTAAATAGTCCTCTGCGCGTAGAGACTTAACTAGCATGTCATCAATGTAAACTTCTATTGACTCACCTATTTGTTTTTTGAACATTTTATTCACTAGGCGTTGGTAAGTAGCTCCTGCATTTTTTAGCCCGAAAGGCATTACATTATAACAGTATGTTCCATACTTGGTGATAAATGAAGTCTTTTCTTGGTTCTCCGGGTTCATTCGAATTTAATTGTACCCGGAATAAGTATCGAGAAAAGTAAGGATCTCGTGGCCAGCTGTAGCATCGATCATGCGATCGATGTTAGTCAATAGAAAAGAATCTTTGGGGCATGCTTTGTTTAGATCTTTATAGTCTACACACATTCTAAGTTTGTTTCTTTTTTTAGGGACTACGACTACGTTGGCTAACCATTCTGGATATTTTACTTCCCGAATCGACCCTATTTTGAGAAGTTTACTTACCTCGTCCTTCACGAATGCATGTTTTAACTCGGACTGAGGTCTTCTTTTTTGTTTTACCGGTTAGAACCAAGGGTCCAAGCTCAGTCGGTGCGTTGTTATCGATGGCGGGATTCCTGTCATGTCTAAATGGGACCAAGAAAAGCAATCTATGTTATCAATAAGAAATTGAATAAGTTTTTTTTAGAGTTCGGGGGTCAATCCTGTTTCCGGGTATACCTTTCTATCTGGCAGATGTTCGATCAATA